ATGTTTATAAATTTGTCCAAGCCCCTGGGTGCCAATAAGAGACCTCCCAGGGTCCTTGGAGGGTCATAAGCAAGTCAGCCTGGGATAATTCCGTCCTCTCCACCGTCTGACCCCGAGCAATGCAGTGGAGTGAATTCCAGTAAAACTAACTTTCTTGATGGGAGAAGAAAGAAGGGATCAAGGTAGCCCCTAGTCTCGTTCCTGGTCAACACACCTGTCTTCTGCAGCTCCCAGAGGGCCAGCCACAGCTGAACTCCCGGGGAGAGGGAGAGGGACTGGGCTGTAAAATAATGCTGCCTTCAGTCCTCAGCCACTGCTTCCTTATAGCAGAACTTTTAACAAAAAAGAAACATTAAACCAGATAGCGATACTCCAGCAGGCTTTCATGTGGTCCTGCAACATCTGTTGAGAAATCTCACACTGTGGGGTGAGTCACTGGGGTCTGGCCTCACATTGGTTGAGAGAGTCTCCTGATCCCAGGGAGGAAAACTGATCTCACTTCCATGGCAATGAGCCCACAGCACCGCTTGGCTCAGTGATGCTGGAGCACGCGGCTACCACTGCGGCCTCTCAGCTTCCCCCTGGCCTTGGCAGCAGGCACGCCTTCCCGAAACCGGCTTCGAAGTTGGAGGAGAGTCCCAACTAGTTCAAAAAGATAAGAAAGATACTCCATGGTTCAGCCAACAGATTCTGGGTGAGCGTTTGCCCCATTCGGAACAGGCCATGAGAGGTGCATCTGGTTTCAGTGATCCATCTAGTCGGTTCTGGGGTGGCAGTCCTGACGTGATTGAAAACCTGGAAAAGAGTCTTAATCCTGCAGGGGAAAAAAATCACATTTTCCATAGGAGCAGCTCAATCCTCCTGGTTTAGATCTGAAGGCACCGGCCTGGCAGGCAGCTCCCAAAATAGCCCCAATATGGACAGAGTCTGTCTGAACACTGCAGGGCCAGTTCCCCAAGCAGCGTGTGCCACTCTTCCCATGGCCCCACGGCAGCTGTCTAGAAGGGCTTGGCCACGGGACCACAGGCTCCTGTCTTCCAAGCTCTGTCAGGCAACTCTTCCTTCCCCTCCATCTCTGCTGGCCAGTTCCCTCCGTGTACCATGAGCACATCTGTCTCATCTTTCTGGAAACACATTTGAAGAAAAAAGTACAGTCATTACCCGGGCATAGTGGTCCACATCTGTAATCCAGCACTCTGTGAAACTGAGGCAGAGGATCACAAGTTTGTGTCCAGCCCAAGCAATTTAGCAACTTAGTGAGACTCTGTCTCAAATTTAAAAATAAAAAAGGGTTGGAGATGCAGCTCAGTGGAAAGCCACTGGATTCAATCCTCAATTCCACCAAAAAAAAAAAAAAAAAAAAAAAATCAGAGTATAGCTGTTATCTGTAATATTTCTACATACAGAACATCCTCAGCAATGGCAGTGTTCTGGACTGGGTGAAAAGGGGATGTGGGGATGGGGACCACATAATGTCTTATAGTGTCAGAGCTAGAACAATAACAGCTGGCCTTCGGAAGAAAAAAGGTTTAATATACACTTGCCTTGGTGTTGACTCGACAGGCCTGGTTCCCTTTAATCCTTGCTACAGGCTATCTGAAGTAGTACTGTATCCTCATTTTGCAGGTGAAGGCAGGCTAAGTAATTTATCATGGTCACCTGTGTATAAGTGTTCAAGTTGTTATTCTTACTCTACTCTGTCTGAGCCAGAACCTGTGTCCAGGCACTAAGCTACATCCTGGAGGTGCTTTAGACAGCACCTCTTAGAGCTCTTGTTACTCAGTGAGGCTGAGGCTGGGTTTCTAGAGACATGGTAGAGTCATGTTGTTAATTAGTGGAAGAGCATGGACAAGAAGCCAGATGCCCCATCTCCGAGATAACGGTAATATGGTTGACAGAGCTTGTGCTGATGGAGTAGTCTTCAGCAAGCTGATTAATACCACAGAACCACTCTGAGTCTGTGTAGAATCTGCGTGGGAAATACCTACCTCGTGGCTTGTTGTGAGGGGTGAGAATGCAATAGTCAATGCAAAGCTCCCAGAGTAGAATGTGATCCTTCTTAGGGACTTAGTAAGGGTACTATTGTTATTTACTCTGGCGATAGTACCATCCTATTTCACTCATGGAGTTCTTCCTTGTTTGCTAAAATAAGTATGCCTTTTTTCCTTAGCTGGGCAGGGTGGACACAGGGAAGGCCCTTTAGGTTTCCTACTACCTGGCAGATGGAGTCTCTTCTTTGGCCTGTAGTTTGGAGTTTTAATCTAAATCCAAACTTGAGCCTTGAGAACTGCACTGACACCTGGCCAGAGCCACTCTCCTATGAGAGAGAAGATGGCAGTATAGTGACCAGTGTCATCATGGGCTCAGGATGGAGCTGTTCCCTGAGACTGCACCTTACACTCCTCAAACTGAGACAGTTTTAGAGATAGTTAGTCACGCAAGATGGCAGCAATTCTGAGCCAGGGTGAATATCCTTGGGGAAGTGTGGGTATTGTGTGTGTGCGGGGTGGGTGGCTCTGACCTGTTGGCATGCATGGAGTGCCAAAGAGTGGAGGTAGCTGGGAATTTGTCCAGCCGCCTTGGCAGAGGTCCTCTCACTGTGTCCAAAAGTGAAGCAAAATTCACCTTGCCCTGTGGAAGGCTTGAAGCCAGAGGACTTAACTATGAAACAACAGCAGCAACTACTAGGGGAGGAGACTGAGATTCCTGGTGCCTCACTAGAGCCCTGAGCCACTTCTGCTCCTCTGGGTGTCCGCCAGAGTGCGGCAGCTGCAGGGGGACCTGGGACAGGAGTGCAGGCTCCTCATTGGCAAGGCCCCTTTAGCAGTTTGGGGAGCATTTACCATGTGCAATTTTGTATAATTTTTTCTTTAAAACGGCTCTCCAAATTGCATAAGCTGCAGGGTTTCTCAGTTCAGCCATGGATGTTCAGGGTCAACCTTGTGTCTCAGGGAATCACTTCCAGAAGAGATTTTAGGGCATCCCCAGAGGTGTTGCCCAGGGACATCCCTGGAGAGTAGTGAAGGGAAAGGTATGTGATTCTGAAACTTCTAGTCAGGATGGGGAGGACTTGTTAGGCCCTGAGAGGGCTGGGTCCTGGCATTGATGAGGGTACAGGATGCAGGAGTACAGAGAGTTGGGAGAACAATATCTTGAAGAGGGAGGCTGCTTGGCCTCCCTGGACTCTTGGCCGGTGGACAGTCCCCTTGAAGCTTTGCTGTCAGCACGTCTGGAAAAAGTGAGACTTGCTGGCGCCCCCTAGGGCTCAAAGGCTGGAACATGTTCCACTATGGAAAAGGCATTGTAGGGCCCTTGGGCCTTACTTAGTTCCCCAAACTGTAAAATGCCCACATGAATCTTAGGAGCACATCTAGCTGAGAAGTGGGTGAAATGAAACAAAGCAAAGACACTGGTACTTCTTCAGTCTCTACAGAACTGTTCTACCCCATTCCCTTAAAAAAAAAAAAGAGCAAATGGTCCCTGACTGTGGGATGAGACCTCTGTCTGTGGGAGGCAGCAGTCCCAGGCAGAAGACAATCTGGATCTGCCTCTCATTCTCAAAGAGCACAGCTTACACCAGCTTCCCTAGCAGTTTGGCCAAACAGAACAGGCAGGACCTCAAGGGGCTGCAGCCCCAGCCTCAGTGCTGGCTGTTACTGTCTCTGTCCCCTACGATTTTCTCAACATGCCTGAGCCCACATCCTCACCCACTCAGTGCTGGAGTGGATGGGAAGTGCCTTTCTGCTCCTGTTCTTACAGAGGGTATAGTAAGCCAGGCTTTGAAGGTGATAAAGTTCCATGCATGCTTAAAGGATAATCATTTACTTAATTCCTTGAAAGGAAATCACAGTGGGAACATGCTGGGGTCACAGAGGCCTGATTTCTGGGTATGATTTCAACACCACCCAGTGGAACTTTTATACCTGGCCTAGTGAGCTGGCGAACCCCAGTCTAAGAGTTGTGTCTGCAGGATCACAATGTCTTATAAATGGGTCAAATGCGGCCTCCTTGTGTTGGCCTGAAATGTCCCCGTGTTGTTTACTTACTCGCAGCAGGGAGACCCATTAGCCCCAAGCTGGCTAGAGCCACAGATTCTTACACAATTAATTGCTTTAATCAGATCGTTCCCAACTGACCAATGTTTTGGCTTCACCAGGTTAGTAGAAAATGTATTTTGAACGTAAACGTCTTCCTGGCCAGTGATATGCAGTACAATGCTCATTGGAGCTGCTGGACAGCATCAGTGAGGCTCCACTGGTCAGCCACACAGTCATAGGGTGCGACAGCCACTGCTAAGCCCTACAGGGTGCCACATTTGATCAGTTCCCTCAGATGCTCAGCACTTGATTATAAAATGGGCTTTGTGTTAGATGACTTTGCCCACTGTAGGCCAATATACAGGTTCTGAGTATGTTTAAGGTAGGTTAGGCTGAGCTATGATTGTCAGGAGGTCAGGTATATTAAATGCATTTTCAAATTAAGATATTTTCACCTTACAATGGGTTTTTCTGGGGGGACACTGACGCCACTGTAAGTTGAAGTGCACCTGTGTAGTTTAAGTAAACATATTTCTGGCCATTTAGAGCCTGTCTGGTTTGCATACTCCATGGAACTGCCAGCATCTGCCAGCATCTGCCAACCAAATTATCTCTGTAGCTGAGGCAGATCCCACACTGCTGCTGCCCATCAGAGCTCTCTGATCCTGAGCCTCCCACCCTTGCTGCAGAGCCACAAGCCCCTGCTGACCTCCCTTTCTGCCCCAAGATTCCCAGTGCCCGCTTCCCTCCTGGGGGGGTCTTGCCTGCTGTCTCTGGAAGGTCTCTTTCCGCCCTTGCATTCCTCACTGTTCAAGTGCCTCCCAGAAAAGCTTGTTTGTGTTATTGCTTCTGCAACCCCATATCTTCCTTGATCAACCCAGAGTTCTCAAATTTACCATGTTCTCGCAGCCTGCTCCTGAGTCAGCTGTGGGGATTTTCTCTGTGCTCACGTAGGTGCAGATCTCACCCACACTATTGGGAAGTCCCCTAGTGTGAGGTTTGCTCCTCATGTCCAGGGCCTTAGGGATAGACAGCAGCTCCTGGGAAGCCAGAGAAAAGAAACCCACACTCAAGCAAGTACCTCAGGTTTCAGGCTCTCGGTGACCTGTGGTCAGACGAAAGCGATTGAAGGTGAGGCTGGCTGGAGGGGATGCCAGGGCTGTGCCAGCATAGGGAGCAGGGCTGACAGGCACCAGGGGGTGCCGTGGGGGTAGAGTTATAGAGAGGGAGGGTTGGAGCTGAAACGGCCCGTTAGGATCCACAGGTCCAGCTTCACTGTGCAGATAAGGAATCTGGGTGTGGTGTGAAGTGACTTGGCCAGTTCCCACGCTGGTCACCGGCAGAGTTTGGTACCTGTCCATCCCATTTCAACCACATACCCTGCTTAGCTATGCACGGGCCGGTTCATCCCAGAGTACCCAGGAGACAATTTGCCATGAAAAAGGCACCTGCAGACTGGTCAGTACTGCATTTTATGATTCTATTTTTGTCTCTTTAGACAGAGTCTTGCTGTGTAGTTCTGGCTGGTATTGAACTCGCTATGCAGCCCAGGCTGGCCTCAAACTCACAGGAAAATCCTCCTGCCTCAGCCTAATGGGCATTGAGATGACAGGCGTGCACTACCACTCCTGGCTCAGGACTGTATTTTTATCTTACGCTGTGAAATCCAAGCATCTTGTTCCCCTTGCCTCAGTGATTGGTTCAGGGTCCAAAGTAGTTCAGTGGAGCTGATGAAGATTGACGCCACTTTTGCTGGGCTTGCTGGGAGTGGAGTATGTGTTCTCCCTCGCTATCTACAAACCTGGCTGGTTTGGACCTAAAAGCACCATAGAGCACCATAGAGCCCTTGCACATAGAAATGAGAATGGGGAAAGCCCAGAGGGCAAAGGTGGTTGCGGAGAGGGAGAGAAGAGAAGGCGACTTGGTCCTGGTAATTGTGCTGGAGCTCGTGAGCCAAGCTTCCACTCTAGACCTTCTGGGACGTTTTAGTTATGAGGGAGCTGAAATATCTTTTTTTTATGTAACAAATTTGAGTCAGATTTCCACTCATTTGCAGTATACACTGGGGTATCAATTCTTCCATCTGCTTTGTTATTTTCTACCATAATTCTTTGGCTTTGGTTTGTGACAATCACACTCATGCAAATCCAGCGCCTTCCTCTCTATCCCGAGGTTCAGCACAGGTGAATGGACATTTACTTGTTAAACAGGCATATTACTGCATTCTGGGACCTGAGTTATGCTGTGGAAGAGGGACAGAGATTATTAGGACACAGTTCCTGCTTTCAAGGAATTATAGACGCAGAGGTGCTGTTAAGCGAACCACAACACACGGTACTATGTGCAATTATGCAGGTCCACGCGAGGCCCAGGGACATGTCTAGGAAGAAGGAATTCAGCCTGGGCAGGCAAGGGCAGCTGCCAAGGGGAAGTGATACTTGGTCAGGATTCCAAGTGGCAAAATGAGAGTGAGATTGGAAGAAAGATACTCTTGAAAGACAACAAGTCTTCTCCACCCTTCTCTGGCCTGGATTTAGGTGACTTGGTTCTTTGCATCCCTACCCTGTGAACTAGACCATTCCTGCAAATCGTGTCTGTCTAGAGAAGCTTGGATCAGTTCTTTGGGGCTGAGCTAAGGCTACTTGGCTACGTGGGCCGTGCTGAGCCTCCCAGCCTGAGAAGAGAGAAGTGTTTTAAAATATGCATTAGGAAAAAAAAAATATGTATTAGGGGGTTTTGACCGTTGTGTTCGTAGATTGGAACATTCCTATTGGAGAGTCAGAAAGCTTTACATATATATATCCAGGTGGGTTTTATTAGGACTTTGTAAGACTGTGGCTGAGCTGCCCAGCCCTCCCTCTTGATGCTGGCACCAGTGAACCGTTGTTCTCTGAGCACAGTGACCCAACCTTCCATGTCTCCACCATCTGCTGCCTCTTCTGGAAGGCCTACTCCTTATTCCGTCCTCACACCTCACCTACTACTACTTCTGGGTCCTCATCCTCTCCTGGAGACCCAGTGTATCTGAAGGGCTGTGGGAACATAGTAGAATACAACTGTCTCCAGGAAGGGGCCTGGGCAAGCTGCCTCTTGGAATACTCTATTAGCCTGATGACTTAGAATTTGGCCGCAATTAGAGAACCAGGTGCCCTGAGGCCTTCCTAACGCAAAGGTTCTTTGTGTTAATCTCCCACGGCCCTGCCACCCATGAGGATGGAGCTGGACATTCCATTCAGTTCTCTCTCTCTACAAGACCACATTGCCTCATCACACTGGCAATACCTGGGGGACCACACACACTCCAGATAGGCCAAGGTCACTTTTCCCAAACTGGTGCAAAGGCAGCGCAAAGGAAACATTCAATGACATAACTAGAGGGTATAAAGGGAAGCGATCTTGTTGGAAACGAGAGTAGAAATGACTGGAAGATGAGAGTAGGAAAGAGACTAGTGAAACTCTGTGGGTCAGATGTTGAATTGAGAGAGAATTGAGAAGTGGAAATGAAAGAAAGGAGGGTTTTGAAAAGAAGCTATTATTAGAAACTGCACAGCTGAACTCCAGGGACTGTTTCTTGCTCAATAGAGCTGTGCCAGTCCCAGTGACTGGGTGTGGTTTCTGTTGTGAGTTTTGTTGAAGTCACTTGGAGAAGCTCCACAGGGAGCTTTCTTGCTATGTCATGAGAGGAGAGGTTGCTGAGCTTGTCATCTTGGGAATGTTTGTCTTTCATGGCCAAGAGGGTAGAAGGGTACCTCTTCTAGAATGTATGTTCCTAATCCCTTTTGACCTTGTGGACAATCTGGTAGCCAAAGACAGCTGCCCTGAACATACAGATCATAGGGTATGGCAGTGGGCAGCCTATGCATGGCAAACATCAGCATCCAGGAATGTTCTTCATTCACGGCTGAGACCAGAGTGTTCTCAAGAATGGGGCAAACTCAGAGAAGCCTTTAGTGTCGCAAGTCCCTGCCAGTAAGTTAGGAGTTTAGTTTTCCTGGGCCTGTTACTCCAGGGGATGTTAGCTAAAGCAGTGTTCTTGAAGGTATGTTTCCATGGCTACATGTGAGTACCTCCAGTGGAAGAGTAAAGCCCATTTCTTTAGTGCTATATGAGGCCGACACTTAATGGTGACTCCCAAAGGCTCTCACAACTCGCTGTTCCATGCCCATTGCTTGTTATCAATGCTGGAACTGTGAACCACATCCACTGTGGCCATTTGATGCCCTTCAAACCCACAAAACAGAAGCAGAAGCCTAATGAGGAAGGAAATGGGGAGTTTCTGAGGAGGAGTACGGTTTTGTGATAAACGAAACAGAGAGAGCCTACTCAGGCTTTTTCCTTCCTCCCCCTGTGCTGTAAATACTAATAGGATGGCTGGAAGGCATCGGACATCATGTGATTGTGAAAGCGGGCTCAGAAAATGGCAGCACCTCTGCCCTGGCATGACTGCCTCATTGAACCAAGGCCAACAGTGTCCTCTCCTCTGACTTCTTGTCTGTTTTTAAAATACTGAAATGTTGAAAGCACATGAGTTGAGTTTTCTGCTCTTTGCAGCTCAGTGGAATTGCATCTGATACCCAGGACTTCTCAGTGCCTTTAATATGCCAAGGCATATTTTGAATCTCTGAGAGAATGTTCAGCAATTTCAAACTTCAATG